GGAAAAAAACAGATTTAACAAGAATAAAAATGAACATGATGAAAATTATTTTTCCATTCTTATTAGAAGAGATGAGGTATAGTCATTAAAAAATTATTTAAAAGTTAACACAACCAATTGACAAAAATAAATTTATTTCACAAATTTTGTATCGAATTTTTTGGGTTTTGGAATTTAAAGTTATTATTAATCTCAAAGCAAAATTTTTATTTATTACTTTGTTTTTTAATTAATATATCAAAAAATTGTATTGGTTAAATAAGAAAAAAAAAGATTAAATTTAAATTTTTTTTTATTTTTTCATTTTTTAAGATCACATATATAACTGGAATGAAAGTAAAAATGATGAAAAACAATTATCTTCTTGATTTGAAGAAGTGAATGTATAATATTTTATTGTCATATCAATACTATGTTTAAATAGTAGCATTTGATTATTTTGTAAAATTTTTAATTGGTTTGAGTATATTAACTTATAAGTCTTTGATCAAATAATACGTTTTAAAAAAAAGACATATTGTATATAGATTAAAAAAAACTGTTAAACCTCATAATTTACAATAAAATTATATTAACACTATAATATTTTTAATATATTATTTAAATTCTAATATATAAATATATCTTAATAAATATGATTGATTGTAGATAATTTTTATCAACAAAATACCTACGTGTAGTGTGGAAGAAAAATCTAGTTAAATTAAATAACCCATCACGACAAAGTAATAAATAACACAGTCCAAAATTTCCAATTATTATCAAGAGACCAAACGATTAAACAATATTTTAATCAACTATCAATAGCAGAATCCCAAACCAAGCTAAACCAAGCCAAACCAAACCAAACCAAGCTTTGGTCTGCAAAATCCAAACCAAAAAAAGAAAATTGCAGGTTTCAGATGAAATAAACAATTGCAAGTTTGAGCAAAACAAATTGGCTTCGTTGCACTTTTAATAATTTATTCTCAATAGCAACATGATTAAAAATAACTGCAGATTACAATATATAACTAGAAGTTGAAGTTGCAGGTTACAATATATAATCTTAATTCAAGTATAATATCGAACTAGAAGTTGCAGGTTTTTCAAACCCAGAAATTCAAACCAATTCTAGTTTGAAGTTTGTTACAAAATCGATCACTTTTCCTATATGTAGTAGAATAGAAAAATTGCAGGTCTCGTTTCAGATTTCTAAATTACAATTTCAGGTCTGAGATCGAACCATAAAGCAATATTCACTCTAATAAGAGTTCAACTGAATCACTCACTACACAATTTTGAGACTCGCAAGCTCTCGTATTGTGTTATAAGTTTAACCAATCGCAACTGGTAAACTCAATCATACATTTATGAAAACTCAGAACCGCAACTCAAATCGCCATGGAATTCGAAAGGCAGCACGACCTAGCGTTGAAAATTCGAACCTCCAATGAGAGTTCGATTGTAGGTGGATAAGTGATTTGAGAAAGCGTTTATGTTTTTGTAAAGGGAAAAAATCCGAAAAATACACCAACTATTAAAAATTTGGAAGAAAAATACACAAATTATTTTGACTCCCTAAATAATACATGAACTATTAATCGTTGTATGTTTAATACGCAAATTATTCATCACTTTTTCTTTAATACACGAACTATTAAATTTCGTGTATTTTACACAATGTTCAAAAAATCGCTAGGCGGTGGCTAGGCGGGTGATAGGAGACTAGCGCTTAGGCGGATTAGTCGGAGACTAGGCGGAGCCTAGGCGTTAGCAAAATTTTCGTTATTTTTTATAAATTTTCTATCTATATATCATATTTTTTAAAATGTTTTAATTGTTTTCTTAAAAATTATTTTATCAAAATTTATGTTTGAATAAAAAGTAAGAAAAACTAATAAATAAAATTATAGAATAAAGTTCAACAAAGAAATCAAACTAAAAATCATCAAATTCTTCAAAATAAAATAAGTTTTAATCTAAAAACTTTAAAAATGTAAAGCAAAGAGAAATCTATCTAACTTATTCTTTAAACACGTCCATATCCACCACCTGCTCATTTTTAGACTTAAATTCAAAATCAATAGCTATATCATTTTCATCGTCGGAATCAATATCTCCTCTAGGCTCATCGTTAAAATTGAAAGTTGAAACTTGAAACAGAGCACAAACAAAGTAAACAAAGATGAAAAGACAAATTAAGAGAATACAATATAGTTATATATATAATATATGCAGATAGATAAAGAGAAGATTAAACAAACTTGTAGAGTTCAGCAATAGAGAATAATGATCCCCTCTTGTAGTTTATGAAGGTGAAGTAGTGGGGAGGAACGAGGATGATTATATTAAGTTATTAACCCTAATCTACGTTTCAAATCTTTTTTTTCTCTTTTCTGTAAACCGATGTTGGTTTACTATCCAAAACCGTAAAAATTGACTGAAAAAAAATAAAAATAATTAGTCTGATTTGGCCGATTTTACCGATTTGGTTCGATTTTTCCGATTTTTTCCGATTTTTTATTAAATCGGATCTGCTTCACTGATTTTATGAAAATCGGGTCGGCTAACCCCGACTAGTCGCCTAGGCGGCCGCCTAGTCGCCGACTAGACCGATTTTTTGAACACTGATTTTACACGTTTTGACAACATTTATATTATAAAAATCCAACTTTATCCTCCTTTATTTTTTAAATTCAATTTATATTGTTTAGAAAAAATTAATAGTTTATGAAATAAAATAAAAATAGATTAATTTAGACGTATTGACGGAATATTGATCTGGTCGTCACCGGCTTCAACAAATACGCTATGCTGATTCGGAATCAATTATGTCGAGAAACAAATATAGCCTGTCGCGGGCGCATGACCGGTCGAATTCGTCGCAAGTGGGAAGCTGGAGAGGAGATTCGATGGTGTGGTGGCGAAGAAGAAGAAATGGAAGGCAAATTTAGAAGACCCATTTGGAAGAGAGTAGAAAATAATGAGAGATATGGTCTCAATTGTTGATGGATCTGAAGGAGGAGAGGGAAGAAGAAGGGGTTTCGACGGAGGAGAAAGACGAAGGATATTTTTTTTTGTTCTTGTTTTAAAACAAAAATTATTATTAAATAAAATAAAGAATTTCTGATAAAAAATAAATAAATTAAAGAGGAAAATCGAATTTTGAAATTAAAAGAGGGTAAAACTGTATTTTCACATAAAAATTGTGTAAGATACATGAAATTTAATATTTACGTATTAAAGAACAAGTGATGAATAATTTGAGTATTAAACATATAACAATTAATAGTTCATGTATTTTTTAAGGAGTCAAAATAGTTTGTGTATTTTTCTTCCGAATTTTATATAATTAGTGTATTTTTTGGGGATTTTCCCTTTTGTAAATCAATCCGTTAGATGTTTATAGAACACCAACGGATTCAAAGAGTTACGTGTAGGAACTGTAAAAATTAGCACTACAAAAAAGTGATTAACATACGAGAAAAATATAAATGATACGTTACGGTAAAAGAAAATTAGTGGAGGCGAAATAATAAATTTCTTTTCGTAACTCTTTGAATACCTGCAGTGCGACGGGTTTTGTGATCCAAGAGCCACATGATACAACGACACACAAACGGTTTCGCAAGCACTCCAAACGCGGAGCTATACAATACTCTCAATAAGAAATTACTTAAAAACAGAGAGAGATATTGCTTGAGTTTGGAGTTATAGAATTATGAAGTCTGTGTTCAAATGAATGAAGAAGATCACCAATACTTTGGTGTGTTTATATAGTGGTTTTGGATAAGGTTGATTATGAAATCAAAGAGATTTCCTTCAACCCAGATCCAGGAGGTGGCAACTTGATCTCTCTAAGAAACTGATTCTCAGAGAATCGTGAAAACAAAGAGAATCTTGATTTTTTGTTTTCCTTTTTTTTTCTTTGTTCAACCCGACCTGACGATCACCGGAGCTCCAACATGAGCAAAGCCAATCTATTACGGCCCATTTCTCTTCAGTTCCACACTATCATCTATGAGTCTCAAATGATATGAGATATTGGAGACAGTGGATACCATAACCTCAGCAAGAATGTTTATAAAACGCCACTGCAATCAAAGAACAAAGATCATTAATCTGAGTATAAACAAAAAACAGAGAATCAAAGATCAAAACACTAATTAAGGAACCAAAAAGGAATGTACTTACATGAACATCAATTTAAGAACACATTAGCTGCATTTGCATCATTCCAAAGGGTTTTCTTAAAAATTGAAGATTCTGTTATTAAAAGCAAAAATACTTGACAAGAACCTTAAAATCGATGAAGCATGATCTTTGTTTAAGATGGACATGAGGTCAACCACAAGCTGCTTATCATCGTGCTTAACCACAGACCTCTTTAAAAAGACCTGATCGGTACATACCAAGACATACGCCACTGGAGGATGTTCACTTCCTATCAACCCTTTAAAACATAAGAGCTTTTATTACGTTACACCTTCGTAACTAAAACCCTCTTTTCCATGCTGAATCCAAGCACCTGAGGGTTTGAAACAAGATTCTTGTGTTCAATTCATCTTCTTCACCAGAAAATCAGTCTTCTTCCTCAACGTCTCTGCAGATAATCCAATGCAATGAGGAAAGCGCGCTTGGCCATCATGACGAACTCATCTCTGCTGAATCCTAGCCCCAGAAATGTTTCAGTGGAGTTCAATATACATCTTCATGAGTGGCAGAAAGAAAGAATGGATTCTTCTTGAAAAGGTTCACACAGATAGCCCACATCAAAGCCTATAATCTATTATGCAGTTATATAACAATTGACGAGACTTGAATACTTCGAGGACGCAGAGTAGCCGCTGATAGCCACATGGTGGATGCACGAGGGAGGGGTAGTGACACCACAAAGTCTAGGAAGTCATTCCTTTTTGGTGAGTGTCTTTGGACGTGTTGTATTAGATGAATTAGCATCAAATATGCATTGGTCGTGAATGTGAATTCGTGTGATGAAATTTATGGGCCATAGGCTTGCACTCACTAGTCGTGATAGGTAAAAAAAAACACATAACTAAGTTGACCAAAAAAATAAAATAAAGGAAAGAAGAACTTTGGTTTTATTTTAATTTATAATTTAAGAGTTTAAAAGTCATGAAAAAGCATAATAGCATCATCAAGCTTAAACCTAATGGAAGAGAGCAACATCTTCTTAGCTTTGATCTTATTTAGTCTCTCCTTTGACGCTCCTTCCAGTTTCGACATTGGCTGCAACACAAAAAAAAACCAAAAACCAAAAACACAATTAACATTCTTTTTTAGCATTAGGTTCATTTTCAAACCCATCAAAACCTACTCTCTTTTAAGTAAAATCTCAATCAATCTCAGTGTGACTAACCTCTTTCTCGGAATCTACTTCATGGGTCAACCTGAGACTCAAGTTTAAGGAAGCATGATACATCTCATCCAATATTTGCCTCGACACACTCAACTTGTTTACCTTCCACAATAGGAACGGGACGTATACTCCAGTGACTGCCAGTTTCTACAACAAAAGAGGACAATAAGAAATCTCATATCAACCAATTTCTTTAGCATAAGAGATTTGGTTTCAAATTGGTAAAAGAAAATTTCATACCTGCATATGTAAGTAACTATCTTTCCACATCTTCAATAGAATTTGCGATGTGTCCTTCTTTTCAGCCAGCGCCGCATCGGCAATCTTAACAGAAAATAAAAATTGAATGAAAAGTTAAGAAACCATTATTACTCAAGGATGTTTCTATACTAAAAACGGCCACTAACCTTATTGGTCTCAACAAAACGGTCTTCTTGTGATAAGTATCTGAACATTCTGAAAGCTTCTTTACCATATCTTCTCATAACTACTGCTTCCATCTAAAAGCATCTCAGAGGTCTCATTTTCAGTATCAGAAATGTTTCAAGGAAAGACAAAAAAAATATGAAATTCACCTCATCTTTCAGTGCTACGCTGATAATGGATTTAAAATCTGCAAACGAAGTAACGAAATAAATTAACGAGGAAGTTTGAATCCAAGTATCAGTTGACCAGATTTTAGAAGGAGCTACTATACCAACTATGTATGAATCATCCGCTTCTATCACAAATGCTGGTAGATTTGAAGACGTTGCGCTAAATTGTTCAAGGCACGCTTGAACTCGCTCTTGTAACATAGTACGGCCTGCTTCTGTTTTTACAACCTCTTCATAGATGGAACCCATTGACATAGGAGCTGAAAAGAAGATATTGTTTCAAAGATAAAAGTAGATCCAACAGAATTTCACACGTTCAATTGCCACTTAAATGAATTTTGTTTATGTTCACATATTGAACGAAAATGAGTGAGCATCTAAGAGATTACCAGACTTGTCGGTTTTCACCTTCTTCTCCTGAGATCTTCCTACTTCTAACATTGCCTTCAAGACAATGGCACATCCTTCATCCGTACGCTCTCTCACTATCTCCACACACGCCTTAAAAGAGGAAACATGTGATCAAAAGATTTATAATAGTGATGGAGTATAGGAGAACAATATTTGAAATGCCAATGAACAACAGTTTTATGTCTCAAGAAACAACCTTAAAGAGAAACACAGGTAACTAACCTTATGTCTAAGGCGGCGGATGAACTCTTCGAAACTAGGACGCCAAATTACTTCATTGCTCAGATCGGATGAGTCCACATCGTGTAGTTTACGCTGACATACATTTTGGTTCAAAGAGAAACCATCAAAACAAAATTCAATGCTACATCACTGGGAAATGTATGCTTATGAAATTTCCAATTGTGGTTATTGTAAGGATGCTAATACCTTCCCCTCAGAGATGTAGCTATCGTTATCTGCTAAAGATGAACTTGAATCTTCTCTGAATATATGTGGGAACCTTATTGCTTCAGAAAGAGTTGCTGCTTCAAGAATACGTTCCTCCAAGCTTTCCGGTTCTTCAAAAATCTGCACAGTTCCAATAGATTGTTTATTAATATCGAAAAAGATAAACAATCCAAATGAGAGACATGTCGCTGCAACTGATAGATGTGATAAACAACAAAGTGATATATCCGACAATGTTAGAGCTGTTGGTTTTCCTATTGTCATACCATACACAAGAAAGACCTCATCGATTACCTTGGCAGCTTTAGTGTCTCTTTTCTTTGCATCTGGCCCTTCTTCTTTTTTTCCAAGAACAGGTTCGGGAGGAGGAATGCGCTCAACAAAACGTGAGGCAACCAATTTCTGAAGAGATTCTCTGATCGATTCTGATCCTATTGTATTTTCTGAATCTGATCATGTATAAAAATCATATGTAACAGATCTAAATCTAACATAAGGTACACAGAATCCAAAACTCAAAGCCTACAATGAGAGTAAACCGTGGCATTAAACACAAGAGATACGTAAGATAGTGGGACCCACCTCTGTCTCTCTCGATCAGCTGTCCCAAGGTAAGCCTACCGTTACTAAGTAAACCATCAAGAACTGCGCCGCACTGTACATATATATCAAAAAAGTAAGAGATTGGCTTATCTTGAAGCATAACCAACTTAGTCAAACATTGAACAGAATGATGAAGATGCAGGAATCATACCTGAGACCCAAGCTCTTGGTTTACAACCCTCGAAAATTTGTTATACCTCACAAGATGAAGAACGTTGTTAAACAACACTATGTACTGTACAATAGCTTTGTTCTCGGAACCATCTACATGTCAAAAAAAATCCAAACAGAAACACTCATGATTTCTCGAATTTGGTGTTTGCTACTAATGACATGGTTAAGGTTACATCAAACAATATAGAATAACTTCAGCATTCTTCAAATTGAAGGAACACAAGACTAAAAATATAAACCGGTTTAAGATAAAAGGTAAGAACTTGCACTCTATACTGAAACAAGAACAGAGCTTAGTGTTCATGAATACGATTAATCTTCAACAAACCGAAAATGACTGCTTTCATTCTACGCTTACCAAAACACTGGGAAGTCCATTCATTTCTATTCATAATCCTAACAACTTTCATAACAAAATCTACAGTCACAAATTCACAAATGAAGAAGCTAAATTGTCTAGAAATTAACAAATTCGAAAGAGATATTAAAGCTAAACCAACAAAAAAACCAGACTAACCAGGTGGTTCAACAGAAAAAGCTTGAACGCAATTGTGCTGAATCAAGAGGTACAAAATATCTTTGACTTGGTTGATGTCTGATTCCGCTAGACGAGAGATGTCTCGCAATGAAAGAGGTCCTCTACGGAGAAGACATTCGCCGACTTTCTGCAAATAAACAAAAAAAAAAACTCATCACTAAATTCATTATACACTTCATAATCTCCAAAAAGGTTTGAAGTGTTTCAATTTACCGATACGACCGAGCCGAAATGGACAGTGATGATGTGATTGGCGTAGACAATGCCATACTCAGTCAAAGCCATGATTTGTGTTTTTGTCTTCTTACTCCTACAAGATACACAAACACGAAGAAAGTTTTAGCAAACTCGGAATTTTTTTATTTTTTCAATTGCTTTGAAAAGGGCAAATAGTTTATATATAATTGGGCCTATATTGGCGTACAATCTCAAAGGCAGAACACACAACAAAACAAACGAACTCAGGAAAACGCTTATATTAGCACAGTAAAACTTGGAATAAACGAACGAAATAGGAACTCCCGGAGTTAGCAGAACACATAAGATCGTTTTAAGAGAAATACGATACATGCCTTTATCGATGATACGAAAAGAGAAATAATACTCACTCGACAATCACAGAGAAGAGAGACGAGAGGTATGAGGTAAAGAGAACTCACAAGTCTCAGAAAAGCTTCTTACTTTTGAGTTTGTGCGATTAAGCCTTTCAGGTAAACGGGCCCCGGTTAAACAAACCCATTAGTAGAAGGAAAGCCTTTTTTCTGAAGATGTTAGATTCGGTTCAATTTAAACCAACGACATACCGATCGCCGATCGGTCTCATCATTATCTCATATTTTGAATTTGATTGTCATATCTTTTGGATAATATGTTGAATTTAAGTTTTCATAAATCTTTTCCCAGACATATAGAAAAGGATTGCTTGGTTCTTTCTTAATCTGTTAATCTTTTCAAATGGTTACTTTTTCAAATGATGAAGCAAATTTGAAGAATTTTCAGGAATAAACAGTACCAATTTAAGCTAACAACCCACAAATTTGATATAACTAGATATTGATTATGTGCTTCGCGCGGACTTATATGTTGATGTTGAATAAAAATATAACAGGCTTATATGTTGATGTTGAATCTAAAAGAAGTACAAAGTAACAGTTATTACTATAAATTGTTGAACAATTATTTTATCACATTTGACTTTTTTTTTCTTTTTTTTTCTTAAGTTTTTTTCTCCATATTTATATTTTTATAATTTATTATCTTCAATCTTTCGTTCTCTTTCCTCATTTTCAATGTTTTAGTCTTCGTATTTTTCAAAAATTTTCTTTATCAAATTTGTATTCTTTTTTTTTTCTTTTCATCGTCTTCGACTTCGACTTCTTCTTTTTCTTTCAGTTTTTCTTTACCTTCTTTTTCTTTCAGTTTTTCTTCACTTTTTTCTAATTTTGTTTCGTCTCTTATTTTTATTTATCTGATAAATTTATTCTTCTTTTTTAGCTTTTTCTTCTTTTACTTCACCTTCATATATGTCATTTTCTTTATATTTAAATTTTCTTCTTTATTTAATTCTTTTCATCGTTTTTTTGAATTTTCATTGTTGTTTTCTCTAATTTTTTTTAGTTTTTATCAATATCTCGTTTTTATTTTTAAAAATATATATTTTTAATACAGTTTATGTCAAATAAATTTTATTCGATTCATTAATTTGTCACATTCTAAATTTATGAGATTAGTATTAAATTTAATTGATCTAAATTTTGAAATATAATAATAAATGTAATTATGTATTAAATAACTAAATATTTAAAATATATTTTTAAATGATGCTGATGTGGACACCCTAAAAGGAGAGAAAACTCTCCTATTATATAATAGATTCGAACATATCGAATAAATCAAAATTGTTAAAATTTTAAGTGATATAATATCACTTAAAATTTAGGAAAATTGCAGTTCATAACCAACAAAAAATTAATATTTAAATGAATAACCATATAAAAAACACGGTTACTATATTATTTGTATTATATATAATATATACAAATATACCCTTTAACTTCTCCACTCACATAACATAACATACTAACTTTAATCTAGTTGGAAGGTTTTAACTCATCCACATAAATCAGCTGTTCAAAAACAAAAACAAAAAGGTTAGGGAAAAAACTTTTAAACTCGCGATAAAGTTTTCTTTTTCAATTCTAAGTTTGGATTTGGGTTTGTACTCCTCGACGACATCATCAGTTCTGGATTTGGGTTTGTACTCCTTAACGACATCATCAATTCTGGATTTGGATTTGGATTTCTTGAATTCTGGGTTTGGATTTATATTATGATTTCAATTTCGATTCTGGTTTTAATTTGGGTTTATTGTTGGTTTTGTCGACATCATCGCAGACATAGGATGAAATCATCGTTTCTGGGTTATGGGTTCTGCAACTGGAGATTGAAATCATCAAAAAATTTGGGTTTCAGATTAGATGAAATTAAAACTTCTATTTAAAGGTTTTTACTAAATAGACTGACTATACGTAGTTTACATAGAATGATTATATGTGAATCATTCTTAGATCTGTCTGTGTTTTCTATGTATACATACGTGAATTAGTTTTTTATTGATAGGATTTTCTATAGATTGTCTATATGTATATAGAACTTTTGTATGACTCTTTGAATGTATGTTTTTATTGTATCTAATAGTCTACTCAATGTCTTCTTCTCATTTTTTTACAGTATTGCAATAGTAGATTTAGGCTTTCCCGGAAAGAATGTAGTTTACATAGATTGTCTATACTGACACAAATTAGTAGTAGATAACGCGTGCGTGTGGCACGTCTAGGAATACATTCTCTATTCTGTATTTTTTTTATTGTTCTTATCCACAAGGTTATTCTAGTCTCAAAATCATGCACATTGATATTTGCTTTATTATGTGATTTTTATGGCTATTTTTTCATCACTTAACGAATATTAATTATTCATTTAATTGTCCCTAAAATTTATCAAAAAATAATATCACTTAAATCTGAATTACATAAACCAATTTTCAAATGAACCAACCCAAATGTTTATTCTATTTAATTCAATGGAATTTTACACAAATCGAATGAATTTAAAACCAAATGAAACTATGGAAACCAACACAAATAATCGAAAAACAGTGTCCATTTCTATAAAAAAAAAAAATCACCATTGTAACTAGTGTAAGCTACGCACATAAAATATATACATATAGACACATAAAAAAACTAATCCTGATTAGTTTAATCCCCGGTTTTTGCTAGATGTTGGACCTACCTCACCTAGGAACTAGTCGGATTAGCATCTAGCAAAATTTTGAACACATGTCCAACCAAAACAAATATTAACACATCTCTTATGGCATCTCACCGGTGTGAAAGTTGAAAATTGAAACAAATTAATATAAAAGTGCCCTCTCTCTCTCCTAAAAAGTGCGAAGACCTTTGCGATAAAGTGCCCTCTTTCTCGGTCGCCCTCCGGCGGCATTTTCGCCGGCCGCCGCCTTCCTCCTCTCTCCCAGGCCCTCCTCTCCTTATGGGGAAGAAAAAGCCTCCCAAAAAAGCCTCTCCGAAAAAGGATTCTGATCTCAATCCGTCGATTGCGAAAGATTCCGATGTTTCCTCCACTCCAAATCTTCCGTCTGTGAAGTCGATCTCGACGCCGGTTGAGCCTTCCATCGAAGCTGTCTCACCCCCCGTCTCGCCTCCGATTTCTGATTTGGCTCCTGCTGAGCCACAAATCGATTTGGTCTTGACCCCTCAAGCCACATCTGACCAAATTGGTGCTCCTGTGATCGCTACTCCTGTGGCTGATCCAGAACCATCAAAAGAGGAAACTGAAGCTGTTAACATGGCTAACAAGCTCGTTTCAAAAGAAATTTCTGGAGTTCCCTCCATCAAGGCGAACCCAGATTCCACTACAGAAGTATCTGCTCAGGCAGACTCATGGGCTTCTCTCGTCAAGGAGACAGCAAAGCCGCTAAGTAAAAAGAGAGAGGCTTTCACATTGCCATCAGGGGAAGCCTGTGTGAAGATTCCAAACTCTGTTATCGAGAAGCACAGGAGATCGTGGGATTGTTTTCTCATAGGGCAATTCTACTCAGATCCCCCTTCTCAAGGTATTATTCATAATATTGTGAATGGGATTTGGAGTAAGCAATATAGGGATGTGTCTGTATCGAAGATGGAGGGAAATGCTTTTCTCTTCAGAATTCCAAGTGCCTTCACTAGAAATCGGGTAATAAATCAGCGCCTCTGGCAAATTGAAGGGCAAACTATATTTGTTGCCAAATGGGAACCTGGTATCATCCCTGTTAAACCAGAGTTATCCTCAGCACCAATTTGGCTGGAGTTAAGGAATGTGCCCTTTCCGTTCTTCAATGATGAAGCCCTCGGGGAAATAGCTGGGTTAGTAGGTGATCCAAAATTTATTCACCCTTCCACAGCAAACAAGACCAACCTGGAGGTAGCAAAAGTGTTCACCATCATCGACCCAAGGAAACCATTACCAGAAGCGGTCAACGTCCAGTTTGAATCGGGAGTGATAAATAGGATTCTTGTATCGAGCCCATGGATGCCTCCGGTATGTGACCATTGTAAAGAAATTGGTCACAACATCAAGTGGTGTTCAAAATCCCCTGAGACTTGTAGGGTCTGCTCCTCTACGAGTCATGATTCAAATAATTGCCCTCAGAACAAGCATGGTGATGGAAAAGGAAAGAAAACCCGTAGAGGTAGATCAAAGAGCAAAGTGTGGACAGAAGTCTCAGGCAAAAGAAGGGCTTTGAGTCCAGGATCGGTTATCCAGATTGTTGAAAATGCGGACTCAAGTTTGGGTAAGGGCAAAGACCTGGTCAGAGGTGAATCAAGCAGAGGAATAGATGCAGATACCCCTTTGATCCCTTTGGTTTCTAAGCAGAAAGGAATTGTGATTAGTGACACAGTTGTCTCTAAGCCGGAGGAGGACTCCTCTGATGTCTTCTCCAGTGACGCTGAGGAGGAAGACGAGGATGAGGAGGAAGAGGGTCAGATAGTGGAGAAATCTTTAACCAAAAAAAGTCATCCAAAGAGACATTCAGTTGTTGGGAAAGGTACTCGGGGCAAGGGCCCCAAATCACATTAGTTTTATGTGTAAAGACATTTTTTGTTGGAACGTCCGCGGTTTCAATGTACATAGTCATCGCAGCGGTTTCAAGAAGTGGTTTAATATTAACAAACCTATTATTGGCGGTTTAATAGAAACTCACGTGAAGAAGCCGAAGGATAAAAAGTTTATAGACGCTCTTTTCCAGGCTGGTCTTTTGAAGGCAATTATGAGTTTTCAGAATTGGGAAAGATTTGGGTGGTGTGGCACCCGAGTGTTAAGGTAGTAATCATCTATAAGTCTTTGCAAATGGTTACTTGTGAGATTGTTTGGCCAACATCTCAGACCGTGGTCATCGTCTCAGTCATATATGCTTCAAACTTAGCTGAGGAAAGAGTTACGTTGTGGAAAGAGATATCCGACCTTGCTGGCAGTAATACCTTATCGGGGAAGCCTTGGCTGGTGCTAGGAGATTTTAACCAAGTGCTGAGCCCAAACGAACACTCCTTGGCTGTAGGCTCCAACGTGGATAAGAGAACAAGGGTTTTCAGGAACTGTTTGCTGGATGCTGATCTCGTTGATCTGAATTTCAGAGGAAACACTTTCACCTGGTGGAACAAAAGGAAAAGCAAACCTGTGGCTAAGAAACTTGACAGAGTCTTGGTAAATGACATGTGGTATTGTGTTTTCCCTTCCTCCCTTGCTTCCTTTGATAACCCGGATTTCTCGGATCATGCAGCGTGTACTGTGGTCTTAGATTCTAGTATGGTGAAACCTCGGAAGCCTTTCAAGTTTTATAATCTGCTCCTAAAGAACAGAGAGTTTGTTCCTTTCATCACTGAAAACTGGTACTCGTTTAATGTTGTGGGTTCAGCAATGTACCGATCTTTCTTCCATTAAAGATCCAGTATCGCTTGGCTAGGCCTTGGCGACAGTAATACCGCATATTTCCACAAAATGGTAACTACAAGACAATCCCTTAATCATATACATTATCTGTTTGATGGAAATGGTGATAGGATCGACTCTCAAGATGGTATTCAGGACCACTGTATCAAGTATTTCTCTGAGCTTCTTGGGGGAGATGTTGCTGCTCCTTTGTTTGAGCAAAGTGATCTGAATATGCTCATGCAACCTGCCTGTTCGCCCGATCAGATTAAAGGTCTTACGAACCCATTCTCTAGAGATGATGTTAAGAGGGCTTTTTTCTCGCTTCCAAAAAACAAAACAAGTGGACCGGATGGTTTTTCTGCAGAATTCTTTATTGGCTGCTGGGATGCTTTGGGACCTGAGGTTACTGATGCTGTTCTGGAATTTTTTGATTCTGGATCTCTGTTAAAGAAATGGAACTCCACCACTCTGGTGCTCATTCCAAAAGTCTCAAATGCTTCGACGACTTCAGATTTTAGGCCTATTTCCTGCCTCAATACTGTTTATAAAGTGATCTCGAAGCTATTATCTTCTCGTCTAAAGGAAGTTGGAAGTTCTGCCAGGTATTATTTCACATTCCCAATCCGCTTTCATGCCGGGTCGTTTACTTGCAGAAAATGTGCTTCTGGCTACTGACTTGGTCCAGGGTTATAATACCAAAAGATTGGAGACCAGAGCTATGCTTAAAGTGGATTTGAGGAAAGCTTTTGATTCGGTCCGTTGGGATTTTTTGATTGGGGTTCTGCGAGCTATCCACCTTCCCGAAAAATTTATCAGGTGGGTTTCAGAGTGTATCTCGACACCTACGTTCTCTATCTGCGTCAATGGAGCTTCAGGGGGGTTTTTCAAGAGCTCAAAGGGTATAAGGCAGGGAGACCCACTGTCTCCCTACCTCTTCCTGCTTGCTATGGAGATTTTCTCACGTCTGCTTCTTTCCAGATATGAATCGGGTTATATCGCTTTCCACCCAAAAACGGCTGAGCTAAAAATATCCCACCTGATGTTCGCCGATGATGTCATGGTGTTCTTCGATGGTAAAAGCTCCTCTCTTCACGGAATTACTGAGTGCTTGGCCGAATTTGCGAGCTGGTCAGGGCTAGAGATGAACAGGAATAAAACTGAGCTTTTCTATGTTGGTCTGAACCACCATGAAACCGATGCTATTAACAGCTACGGATTCCCGGTTGGTTCATTACCAATCAGATACCTAGGCCTCCCGCTGATGAGCCGCAAGCTTAAGATCAATGAATATGACCCGTTGATTCACAAGATCACAGGCAAATTCAAGATGTGGGCTGTAAAATCTCTGTCCTTTGCAGGTAGAGTTCAGCTGATTGCCTCGGTTATTTCGGGCTTAGTGAATTTTTGGATCTCTGCGTTTGTGCTTCCGAAGGGCTGTATTAAAAAGATCGAATCACTCTGTGCAAAATTTCTCTGGTCGGGTAATATCGACAATGCGAAGGGTGCGAAGGTTGCTTGGAACACGGTTTGCCTCCCACAAGCAGAGGGTGGCCTTGGACTTAGACGTTTTTCAGTCTGGAACAGAACTCTCTGTCTAAGATTCGTCTGGCTCTTATTCTCGAACTCTGGCTCTCTTTGGGCACAGTGGCAAAGGTTGATACATCTGAAAAATAAAAGCTTCTGGGCTATTGCTGCTACGAGCAAAGACTCTTGGACATGGAAGAAGATCCTTAAGCTGAGACATGATGCAATAAGGTTCTCCAAAGCTACTCTGGGCAATGGTAAACGTATCAGGTTCTGGTTCGACTCTTGGACCCCCTTTGGTCAGCTGATTCATTATTTAGGAGCCGGGGGTCCAAGGAGTACCCGCATCCCTCTGCACGCCTTGGTGGAAAACGCTTGTAACACTCAGAATTGGAAGCTGGCGATGCCAAGATCTGAGGAATCTTTAAATCTCCATGCCTACCTGACAACAATACCTCTGCCTTCTCAAAGATCGGAGGATGATGCTTTTGAATGGTGTGTGGACGGTGAATGTAGCGACTTTTTTTCTTCTTCCCGCACTTGGGAAGCAATGAGACCTCGCGCTGAAGAGAAACCATGGGCGGAGTTGATATGGTTTAAAGGAGCGGTCCCTAAACATGCATTCACGATGTGGATTGCAAACCTCAACAGATTGCCTACTAGAACGCGTCTTGTCTCATGGGGCTTACAAGTACCTATCTCTTGCTGCTTGTGTTCCATCTCGGAGGAGAGCCGTGATCACCTCCTTCTTAGATGTGATTATAGTTCTGAAGTTTGGAGATTAGTTCTCGATAGACTTAACCCCACCCAACAGGGGTTTCAGTCTTGGTCAGAACTACTATTGTGGATTAATAGCTCAAGTGCGGCGCCAGCACCACTGAGGAGAATGGTAACTCAAGCTACGGTCTTTCACTTATGGAAGCAGCGAAATAATGTTCTGCACAACAACACCTCGCTTCCCATTTCGGTGATCTTCAAAACTATTGATCGGGATGTTCGTAACACCATTTCAGCGAAGCGCCACCACAAGTGCTTTACTGATCTTATGATTTGCTGGATTAGATGATCTAAAGGCTGTCGTAACATTTTTGCTATCTTTCCCATCCTGTTTTACCTTGTTTTTTATTTCTTTTTTGCCAAGGTGGTTTCAAACTCTAGAAAGATTTGCTTTTTGTAAATCTTCCCTTCATTTTATAATGATATTTACAGTTTAGCAAAAAAAAATCTCACCGGTATGGAATTCGACTCCACTCTTCCCATTTTGGAATTTTGGACTATTGGGCTGGTCAGTTGTAAATTGACAAAACAAAAAAAAAGTACAATGGGCTCAGGTTTTACTTCATCTTTTGGGCTCAATTTTCAGGTGCCATCTCATTCGTCTTCTCTTTCCTCTCGTCGACGGACTCTGCTCATCCTCTTCACTGATCTTCTCTTCAACTTGTACTTCTTCTCCCTCTGGCCTCTTTCTCTCCATTAATTTCTCTCAAACAAGCTTCTTCGATCTTCACCGTGTTGGTAATATTCCTTTTCTCAGGCCTGTGTTGGATTTCACAGTAGATTAGTCGTGATACATAATCGTAAAGTTTTCGATTTTAGAAATTGAAATTTTAACTGTTTTAGAGAACTTATTGTTTTAAGGAAATGGAAACCCTAGTTTCAGGTGTTGCTTTGCAATCGCAAAGTTTCCGCATTTTTTGTTCATTGTGATTACAAGATTTCTCCCGTTTGTTTTACATTTGTTAAGGCCTTTGATTGAGATCTTCAATTAGCTCCTGTTGATTCCATTGGAGCTTGATAAAAGGCATTGCTTTGCACTATTCTGTTTTCTCAAGTAGTTTCTGGTTATCCTTTCAGATCTGAGTTACAACTTGTTCAGAACCCAAAAGATGAACAAAGTTGTTATTGAATGAACATTTTTCGGATTTCGATATTGTTTCAGGATGGCACATTCTCTTAGCTACATCTCCACCAACTTGAACAGTCTAGTCCTTGTTCATCATCAATGGCATAGCTTTGGAACGTTGGTCTCGCCATCGAGGAGATTCGCAAGAAGCATTAGAGCTGTGCAAGAAACCGAAGGTCCAAGAAGATTAATCGATATCATAAGAACGGTTCCTGAAATCTCAAGAAATTACTTCAAGAAGCCTTCAAGAAGAACACTTTTCGGAGGGATCTCATTGTTAGGTGGGTTCTACGTTGCGCAGACTATCTCTCTCTCCTTTGGAGCTTTGGGTGTGAACGATGTTATTGCTGCGGTTTTATGCGTTCTTTTAACAGAGTATGTGACGAGATTCTATTATAGCCGCACCACGGTGACATTTCCGCTCGCTCTGCTTAATAATTTCAAGATGGGTTTCACTTATGGTCTCTTCATTGATGCCTTCAAACTGGCTAGCTAGTATGTTTGTGTTTGACTGTTTGGTTTCACGACCTTTATAGTGTTTCGAGTTTCTTTGGAGGTTTCCATGAGAATAGCTAGATTCAGGGGTTTATCGACATCTATTGGATGATAGTATGATTTATGAGTCTCAAATGATATGAGATATTCGAGACAAATGTATACCATAAGCTCAGGAAGAATGTTTATAAATAGCCACAGTAAGTAAAATAACAAAGATCACTAATCAGAGGATAAACAAAAAACATCTAAGAACTTGCAACAGAGATGAAGCAATCACCACGTAGTGAGATTTTAAAGTATTATAAGAGGGTTTTGTCTTGAATCCCGAAGCTTTAAAGAATTTAGTGGAATTAAAGACTCTCATGGAATCAAAGATCAGCACACTTATCATGGAACCCAAAAGGAATTTACATGATCAGAAATCCAAGAACTCAATAGCTTCATTAGAGTCATTCCAAAGGGGTTTTTTGAAAATCGAAGATTCTGGTATAAAAGCAAAAATACTTGACAAGAAGCCTTAAGATCGATGAAGCATGATCTTTGTTTGAGATGGCATGAGCTCAGCCACAAGCTGCTTGTCATCGTGCTTGATTCCAAGATTCTTTAGTGTCCATATCATCTTCTTCACCAGAAAACCAGTCTTCTTCCTCAACGTCTCTGCAGTAACCCAAAGCAATGAGGAAAACGCTTGGCCATCATAACGATGAATCCTAGCCCTAGAAATGTTTCAGTGGAGTTCAATATACATCTTCATGAGTGGCAGAAAGAAAGAATGGATTCTTCTTGAAAAGGTTCACACAGATAGACCACATCAAAGCCTATAATCTCTGATATATATACATTGAATTTTTTCTTCTTCTATTAGAAACAATCTCATTAATCTCAGGGTTTGAAGCTCCTCTGGACTGAAGCAACTTAAGCTTGCGACCAAGAGATTTCTCAGCATGCTATAAGCAATCGTGGATAATCCGTAATGATGCTAGAGATATGAGAATATGTGAATCCATAACACCTACGAAGACTCAAAACCGAATTAGGAATGCCCTTGTCCTCAAACCTTGCATAGGCAATAAGGAAACATGGACCTCATTCTCGGCTGAAGGAGAACCGATTTGAGCTTCAAAAGTATAGGAAAATGTGCCATCAAGTTGATGCCATGGCCTACGTAGGCGGTTATAGCTCATTAAGGATTGATGAGATTGAATGCGTCGAGGACATTGAGTGGCCGCTGATAGCCACGTGGTGGATACACGAGAGGGGATAGTGGCACCATAGAGTCTGAAGTCATTCCTTGTTGCGTGAGTGTCTTTGGACGTGTTGTTGGATAAACTTCAACATTACTTGATGTCCAATATTTCCTTAATCGAGTTGGATTAGGATAAGAAAGGCTTAAATCGGCTCCTTAGTTAATTTAGGATTTATCTGATACTATTAAGAAAAGGAAATTGGTTTTACTATATATATATAGATGTCTAGCTATGACATTCATATATGAGCTTTAATGTTTAGGTTTTGAGTTATTTTCCTAAGCATTAATATAAGAGAGTTATTCTTATTGCAAAAGCTAAGAGCTTAAGATCCTTTATTTGGTATCCGAGTTTGAGGAAGAAGCGATCCAACCCAAGTTATGATAACACCAAGATTATACGTTATACAGAGATATGGGAGACGTAGTCCCTGCAATTCAACCGAAGGAGACGGTTTTGTCTTCAATAAAATGTGTGATGCTTTCCACCACGAACTACACCGTATGGGTGTGAGGATGAGAGTGATGCTGCGAATCCATAAAATCTGGGAAGCAATCAAACCAGGCTCAACGGACTCTAACAAGAATGACATTGCAACAGGCTTAATCTTCCAATGTATTCCGGAGAACTTAATCTTACAAGTCGGTGAGCAAAAGTCTCCAAAAGAAATATGGGAAGCGATTAAAACACGTAACCTTGGTGCCGATCGTGTCAAAGAAGTAAGACTTCAGACCCTAATGTCTGAATTTGAAAGAATGAAGATGAAAGACACAGATACAATTGATAACTTTGCGGGAAAGATATCAGAACTTGCATCAAGATCAGCTGCACTTGGAGAAACGATTGATGAACCAAAGCTTGTTAAGAAGTTTCTCAACAGCTTACCGCGAAAAAAATACATCCACATCATCGCTTCTCTGGAACAGGTTTTAGACCTGAAGACAACTGGATTTGAAGACATCATCAGACGTCTAAAAGCCTATGAAGAGCATATTCTCGCTGAGGAGAATCAAGACGAGACACAAGGAAAATTACTCTATGCAAATTCAGAACAACAAGATGTGTACGGAAGAAGTAGAAGACGAGGATACAGAGGTCGAGGCAGAGGAAGACGTTTTAATTTTCAAGACAGAACATTGGATCAAACAGATACAAATCAGACAAGAGAGAAAGACCTCTCAAAAATAATTTTCTATCGCTGTGACAAGCCTGGTCACTTTGCCTCTAATTGTCCCGACATAATCCGTAAGCTTCAAGAATCAAATGTCGCTTAGATGGAAGAAGTCGATGATGACAAAACAGTTTATATGCATGAGATCATATTCTTGAATGAAGACAAACTCACACCAAAGAACTATAAAGGAGAGGAAGGCGTATGCTACCTTGATAATGGAGCAAGTAACCATATGACCGGCAACGAACTATACTTCTCGGAGCTCAACAAAAATATTAAAGGCAAGGTGAAGTTTGGAGATGGATCATGTGTGAAGATAGAAGGAACGAGATCCATTCTATTTCAAAACAAATCGGATGAACATACCCTTGTCAAAGACATCTATTACATTCTCGATCTCAAAAGCAACATCTTTAGTTTAGAACAAGCTACTGAAGTCGGGTGTGATGTTCGAATGAAACAGGATTATCTGACCGTCCATGATCCAAACAACAGACTCCTAGTGAAAGTGGTGAAATCACCTACTCGGCTGTACAAGATCAAACTTCAGATTGGTAAGCCCATATGTCTGTACTCGCAAATAGAAGATGGAACTTGGAAGTGGCAAGCAAGATTTGGACATATAAACTTCAAGACGACCAAATACATGTCTCAAAATAAGATGGTTCATAATAAGAGACGAGAAGAAGATATGTGAGTCATGTTTAGTCGGAAAACAGACACGTCAAAGTTTTCCGAAAGCAACCATGTTTCGAGCTTCAAAGCCACTAAAGCTTCTCCATGCTGATTTGTGTGGACCAATAACACATCCTACCATTGCTAATAACAGATATATATTTGTTATCATAGATGATTTCTCAAGATACATGTGGACAATATAATTCTTTTGAAGGAAAAAGGAGATGCATTTGAGAAATTCAGAGCACTTAAACACTTAGTCGAGAAGGACTTCGGAGAAGAAATCATCACACTTAGAATGGACAGAGGAGAAGAGTTTACTTCCAAGGAATTTCATAAATTCTGTGAAGCAAGTGGGATCAGGAGACAGTTGACAGCACCTTACACACCGCAACAAAACGGTGTTGTTGAAAGAAGAAACATAACTTTAATGGAGATGACGAGAAGCATGCTCAAAGCCAAGAAAGTTTTAAATTACTTATGGGGTGAGGCAGTGCGACATGCCACTTATGTTATTAACAGAATCCCCATAAGAGGTCTCAACAACATGACACCTTATGAATGCTTCAGAGAGAAGAAACCAAATGTGGAACATCTAAAGGTTTTTGGATGCATGGCCTACTCGAAAATCGACTCCGCAAACCTCAAAAATCTAGATGATAGATTACTATCTCTAGTTCACCTTGAGATCAAACCAGGTTCAAAAGCCTACAGTTTGTACAATCCTTCAAATCGAAAGATAGTAGTAAGCTGTGACATGGTGTTCAATGAGAAAATGAGGTGGAGCTGGAAGGAAACAACATACAGACCAAGCAGGGATCCAGGAATGTTTCACATGAGGTGGGGAGAGGTTGAAATACATGGGAGAAGGACCCGTTATAACATATACTTAAAATCAAGATGAAACAGAGAACGAAGGCACTCATGATTTCGAGAATGATGAGCATGATAACAACGATGGTTCAGACCATAAATCGAATAATCATGGCAGTGAAGACAATTATGAAACACAAGAAGCACCAGTGCTAAGGAAATAATCTCGCCAAGTAAGAAGACCAGGTTATCTCGATGATTTTGTGCTCCAAGCCTCTGTTTAGTGCAAAAGACTTCTCCTCTCAATAGACGGGGAGCCAAGATGTTACAAAGAGGCAAAGAATTGGTTAGAATGGAGAAAAGCATGCGAAGAAGAGATTCATTCGATTAACAAGAACAAGACATGGTCTCTTGTTGATCAACCAATCAACATAAAGGTTATTGGTCTCAAGTGGATTTTCAAGATAAGAAAAAATACATATATGGCACTATCAACAAATACAAAGTGTGACTCGTTGCTAAAGGCTACATACAAGAATCAGGTGTGGATTTCGATGAAGTTTTTGCACCTGTTGCTCGAACTGTAATCATTGGGCTACTGATGGCGCTGGCTGCATCTTATGGATTGGAAATTCACCACCTGGATGTAAAAATAGTGTTTTTACATGGTGAGCTGAAAGAAGATGTGTTCGTTGACCAACCAAAAGGCTTTGAAGTAAGAGGTGAAGAACACAAAGTATACTTACTCTCAAAAGCTTTGTATGGTTTATGACAAGGCTTGGAATACTAAGCTGGATCAAATCTTAAAAGGCATGAAATCGAAAGGTGTATGAAGGAAACCTCGGTGTACCAAAAAGAAGAAGGAGGAAATCTGCTCATAATTGCTATTTATGTAGACGATCTATTTGTCATATGCAACAATCCCTAGGCATTAAGTGAGTTCAAGGAAATTGGTTTTACTATATACATAGATGTCGAGCTGTGACATTCATATATGAGCTTCTGGTGTTCAGCTATTGAGTTATTTTTCTAAGCATTAATATAAAAGAGTTATTCTTATTACAAAAGATAAGAGCTTAAGATCCTTAAATTGTATTAGGTGAATTAGCTTCAAATACGAATTGGTCGTGAATGTGAATACGTGTGTGATGAAATTCATGAGCCCTAGGCTTGCATTCACTAGGTAATCCAAATTACTCTTTCCAATCTTTATAGCTGATGATATAAGATTGAACCTCACAATCTTATGAACACATGATTTCAAAGGCTCTCGCCTTGAATGGAGGGTGGATGAATGGTGAAGATGGAGATGAAGGTTTTGTTAATTGAACCACAAAAATTGAAAGAACAACTTGAATCTCACAGTTATTTGATAAGTACTATCATCGTACTTGCACTTGGAGGAATAAAAGGAAGCCATTGGAAACAGAGGATGCGATTGATGACGTGGCAAATACAGAAGAAGAAAAGTAAAACAAAGACTCAGAGTGAAGGAGAAGGTTTGCTGTTACGAGTTAGGAGACATTTATAATTGAAAAGAGAGGGAGATTGAATTTCTTTATGATTTGTTTATTGTAACTCAAGATGCTATGAGTCTGAGCTAGATCGCTATGAGATCTGGAATCTAATTGCATTCGCCATGAGAGTGTAGCTGGATTACAACAGAGCTTATTAATTTTAATTCTGTACATATTTAATACAATATTATCTTCTCTCTATCATTGGTGCGGTGACAAAAAGACGAATCCAACGCGACGAACTCAGAAACAAGATATGATGTCAACGCCGAATAATTCACCATTGGGATCTCGATTTCAAGACGACTTCGACGATTTGTGAAAGAACAAACTCTAAAACAAGGTTAAAACAAACAAAAAATAGGTAATGAGAATTTTTAATTTTCACAAAAAACCAGCACAATTTTGTGGAAGAAATGGTTTATTTTTAAAGAGAATAAACTCTGCAAGGGCATATGTTGGTGTCACCGTGATCTTAGACATTTGACAGAATCCAACTGAATAAAAACAAAAGCTTTTAAGTGTGGGACAAGGATATAAAACAGAGCACAATCTTTTTATCTCTTCAATGTCTGAACTTCGATCTACACAGTTTGATTAATACTATCAAAGGTCAATTTACAGCTTGAGCTATGAATCTTGATGCAATCATTACAGATTGAGTTGTGAATTTGTTGTGTTTGAGGGTGGTATTAGCGATACCAGAAGCAAAGGTCATGACAGCTTAAAAAGAGAAGAGAGAGAGAGGAGTATGGTGTTGTCTTTGATGTAGGAGACATTGGAAGTAATTAGAGAGACTTTAAGAAAACTAGAAGTATCCAAGCAACGGAATGTGAATCAATCATTTTTTTATAAAAGTATTTTGGATACTTTGGTGGATCTCATATTTATTTCGTGATTTTGAGATAGTATGGCTGAGAATTGTGACATAGAAGAGCTCTCCTTTTAGAAGATGTCTTTTTGTAGAGTATTTCAGAAGGAGCATTTATAAAAGCCAATTTAAAATAGAATTGGATCTTTAGAAAGTTACATTGACTCCAAGAGAGTTAATCATATGTGTTGGATTGG